CGGGGGCGGGGCGCGGAGTCACGTTACGCGAGCGGGGCCGCGGCTGGACGCAGGTGCCCGGCCGGCCCGACATGACGGGGCTGGGCCCGGACCCGGAGTTTGACTTCGAGTTCCTCTTCGAGTTTGACCAGAGTGACGAGGGCGCCCCTGCGGCCGCTGGAGGTAGGTGGGGAGCGGCCAGCGCGGGCCTGGACTCGGCGTCGGGGCAGCGGGTCCTCGCGGCCGGCCTGGGTGGAGAGCCCCGCCAGGGGTGCGCGAGTCCGGACAGTCGGCGGCTCAAGGCGAAGCGGTGTCCCGCGCGCGCCCGGGACACTGTGACCGGACCAGGTGGCCAGCGGCGTTGCCAAACGTACTGAGTCGCCAGCACCGCGGCTCCTGCCACTGGGCCGGCCTGGGCCGGTCACGGGGTCGGGGAGACGCGGAGCCCCTGAGAGCCCCGCTGGACGGCGCCTCGGGAGGGGAGCGGCCACCTGTCGGGTTCCGGGAGGCGGGACAGTAGCCCAGGGGGTGGCCGAGGCCGCGGGCCAGGGTCTGGGCCCCCATCGCTCCTACAGCACCGCATGGCGGGGCGCGTCCGCGTGGGTCCCTCGGACTGTCCATGAGCACGGGCTGGTGGGCCCCATGGCCAGGCTGCCCTGCTGCCGTCGCCCCGGCCACCTCTCGGTGGGGCCGCGGGCACCGAGGTGAGCAGGGCGGGTGGCTGATGCTGCGTGGGGGCCACCTAGCTTCGGGGTGTCCCGCGCAGTCCGGTCCACTCAGACTCCCTGACCCTCGTGGCCCGGTGTTTGCCGGCGCTGGGCGGTCCTCGAGGCTCCTTTAGCTGCTCCGATGGGGTCCGGGCAGCGGCCCTGCGGACAGAGCACAACTGTCCCCTTGAAGGGGCTCAGTCACTATCCGCTAGACTTCACGTCAGTCTAGGGGTGAAGGCGGCTGCGTGAGGAGGGCTTGCTGCTTGGGTTCTGGAACCTTCTCCCATCCCATCTTGTCCAGGACGCCGACCTGTGCTACCTCTCCTCTCATTAGTGCCCGTCTCAGCGAGAAGGTCCTTCCTAGGCACCCACACTCCAGGCACCCTGACGTGGTGGCCACCTGGCATGGCTGGCCATGGCCCTGCCTGTCCGTGCCGTGTGTGCCACCCGGTGTTTGACATGTCCTGACAGGGCTCGAGGTGAGGGGTCCTCCCTGGTACCCCCATGGAGACTGAGATGGTGTCTCAGGCCCAGTGAACCCTAGGATGGAGAGGGCACCAGCAGCTGAGGGGCCCATGGGGGTTTGCCCACACCCTGGCCCTTGGCCTGCTGGATGGGAGAGTGCAGAGAGCTCCCAGCCACTGGCTGTGCCCTCCTCTTCATCCTCACTCACCAGAGGGGCAGGCTGCCCCCCTCCCCCCAGAGGGTCAGGAGGCCTGCGGACAGTGGGGGTTGTCCCTGGGCCCTGCAGCCCTCGGTTGAGAGGGGGCTGAGGTTCAGGGAGAGGGCAGTGGGCTGGGAGGTCTTTCCACTTTGGTAGCATTGGAAAGTTGTGGGCAAAACACCCCTTTTTTGTCTGTTTCTGGTGGAGACACTCCTGCTTTGCCTGGTTACATGGAT